TAAGTGGGAGAACCTGCACAATTGGTGGCTGACTAAATACTTTTTTGCCCCACTGTATACTGATACAAAGAATTTTAAAGACTAAGATTCAACTGAAAGCAGAACTTTTCTTGTTGGAATTAATGGACAGACAACTAGAAAAGAGCCATGGAAAACTAGTTTTTTTATATGATCACTGTTGTGAGACTACTATATGCACAAAAATAGAAAGACTGTGATATACCCACAATGGAGGAATGGTTGGTGAAGAAGATGGAATTAGCAGAGATGGCAAAACTGGCAAAATTAACCTGTTTGCTTAGAGAAAGATCAACTATTATATTTATTAGTGACTGGAAACCCTTTATGGACTTTATGCTGAAAAAAGAAAAAAAAATGATTTATGGGTTTGACAATTAGGGTAGCTTTTAGAAAGCAAATTATGAAGGAACCTTAGAGAGGGTGAAATATAAATGCATTTATAACCACTGTCAAAAAGATCTTATCTTTTTCTTTTCTATTTCTACTTTCTTTCTTAGTTATTCAGTTTTCTTTATTTTCTTTGTTTCTTTTCTAATGTTTGTATTGCTTTTATCTTGTTCAATTTTTTTCAATAAAAATTATATTAAAAGGGGGAGGGGGCTAGCTGATGGAAATCCTACTGGTTTCTCAAAACAAAACCAGTCACTCTGTCGGATTCCCTTGTCTGTTCTCAAGGTAGCATGATCTCCACCAGCTTTCAGAAATAGCTTGCTTTGTTTCATATTGCTGCTACAGAGACACAGCAGAGACGTTGATCTGCATGTCCGGAAAAATGTTGCAGCGCTCACAGTGAAAACTTATTCAGCAATTTTTTGTGGGTTTTGTATGTGTCTACAGAAATGTCTTGGGAAATACTGAGATGGATCACAGGGTCACTTTATGTGAAACTTAATCAGCAACCTGTGTAGATTTTTCTATCTATTGGTATAACTGAATCCTTTACATTGCTCTCCCTACCTGGTGCCCTTCTATAATGCTCACTTAAACAAATACACTGACAAAGAGAGCCAGCAAACCATTTCAAACAATGTTGCCTACCTCACCACTGCAGGAAATGTTTTTACATCAGGCAGTAATTCATTAGGCAGATACATGGCTTTTCTTATTTTTCTTATTTCACAAGGATTTCAAAAGCTTACTACTCAGCTTGCTGAGCAGACTGTAACAACACCATCAATGTTTGCTGGGTGCAGCTGGAAGTAGGATTATCCAGATCTGAATCCCTACTCAGCTAGGAAATTCAGTGGTTAACTCTGGGACAGTCAGCCTAAACCACACACAAAGCCTGTTGTCAGGATAAAGTGGCACCCTTGCGTGGCCCTTTCAGTGCTGTGGATGAGGAATGGATAAAGGTTATAAGAGAATGTGACATTAGGAGGAAAAAGCCGCATCTGTAGCTGAATAGCAGTTGGCCAGTAAGAAAGTATGAAACATGGTATGTCTTGGTGCGGCAGAGCATGTTCAGTGGTTGGTCCAACAGTGAACTGATAGTGCTGATTCATAGAACACACAGATAATTGTATCCTAAATCATAAAATACCCAGGATTTTCCTAAGGAGGTGAACCAGTGCAATCTTTTTTCCCTCTACCTAGTACTTCAATAATGAAATTTATGAAGCCCAACGGTATGATGGGTTTTTGAAGACCTACGAAAATGCCTCACTGAAAACTACCTCCACGTTGGCTCTGCTTAATTTTGGACAGAGTGCTATATTCAGCATCGGATTAACAGCCGTCATGGTGCTGGCTAGCAAGGGAATTCTTGCAGGTACCTCTTCCGTGTCCAACCCTAGTTCTTTGCATTAAACTCATGTTTCACTTGCACTCCTCCTCCCTGATTTTTTCCTTTGCTCTCTTCAAATGCGTGTCCTGTATTTGTGGTGGCCCTCCAGATGTTCCAGCAATCGCAGCTGGCTGTGGGTTTTGCAGCATGTGGGGGATGGCAGGTCCCCCCCTCTGTTCTCTGCTGATTGTTATAATAGTGTGATCTAAACATGTGGCTGTCAGCTGACTTCAGCTTTAATATGAATATATGCTGAATATAAATTTGAGTTGGGTGTATAATAGCTGGCTGCAGCTTATTTTGAAAAATTGAGCTACGTGGCCCAAAAGCTGCCTTATTGCTCCTCTACATTTTCTTTGTCATGAAGGTAACTTAACTGTTGGTGACCTGGTCATGGTGAATGGATTGCTGTTCCAGCTTTCCTTGCCCCTCAACTTCCTGGGAACGGTATATAGAGAGACGAGGCAGGCGCTCATAGACATGAACGTATTGTTTACGCTGCTTAACGTAGACACTAAAATCAAAGTGAGTATTGTCTGTAAAATCTTCCTTAAACACTTGCCATGCGTGCTAGTTTAAAACGAATTGGGACCTTTTTGTGGCAATATTTGAGCAGTTAGTGAAGATCCTTCATTTAATGTGGTATTTCTGAAACTGGTTTTGAAAAAATAGCAAGGGGATATTTGTCATCTCTGCATTTTATATATAAGTGTGCCCTGTGCATTGAAATTTTATTCTGTCATTTTAATTAATGATGCAGAATTGATTGTGCAAAATGCTGCCTTGGAGCTAGACCATTCTGGAAAAAATTATTGAGCTTTAAAGAAGAGGGGAGAAAGAAAGAAAGAAATTTACCTGTAGCTGAAACTGCTAGTTTTTTACCTCTTTTGGGCATTTGCTTGTGCCTCGTTTTCAATTAGGTCTATTGTTTAGCTTGTTAAGCTCTTTAACATACCTTCTGGGCAGTGTGTAAAGCAGCACTCTTCTCTTAATAGGATAAAGAACTGGCTCCACCCCTGCAGATCACACCACAGACTGCTACCATCGTCTTTGATAACGTGCATTTTGAATACCTTGAGGGGCAGAAAGTCCTCAGTGGCGTGTCTTTTGAAGTCCCTGCAGGAAGAAAAGTGGCCATTGTAGGAGGCAGTGGGTCAGGGTGGGTAAGCGGATGCGCAAAATTCTGCATCATTGATTGATTTCCTTCTTGATGTGGCGATAAAGATGTGGGGGTTTTGAAAGGTGCCATCCAGGAAAAATGTTCTAATCCCAAGTCTCCTTTTTTTTTTTTTTTTTTAGGAAAAGCACAATTGTAAGATTATTATTTCGCTTCTATGAACCTCAGAAGGGAGGGATTTATATCTCTGGCAAGAATATACAGAATGTCAGTTTGGAGAGCCTGCGGAAGGCTTTAGGAGTTGTGCCCCAGGTATGGTCCTTTTCCTGCCATGGAAGTCAACCTAACGTTGCAGGCCCGGAGACTGATGGCATAATGGGAACACTGGGGTGGCAAAGCGGGTGAAATGTTGGCTGGAGTGCAGAGAGAAAGCTGCACCAGGTGGACAGGACCACATGTTGGCGGCCTGCTTGATTTGCGGTTTAATTATTTAATTAAATCAATATACAATGAAATAAGGATGGATACTTGGGATACCTGGGAGCATTAAAACATCATTACACACTTTAGCTTGGTGTTCACCAAGCTTTCTGTCCCACCTGACTTTTGGTTTTTAGATTCTTTTAAAGAAAGGAAGATATAAGGTGGCAAAATGTAAAACTGCACCTTTATCTCTCTAGAGAAACAATCATATCTTAACAATGCTCAGGTTAGGTGACACTTGACATTGGACTATCTTTGAAATGTTTCTCACTCTCTTTTGTATTCTGTTATTTCAATAATAAGAAATATTCAGAAAGGAAAACAAAACAGAGAAGTGTTGGGGACAGAGCCATGGCTTAGGCCTGGGATCTCTTGAGGCACCATTGTCTTGTCTTTGGCCCCATATATAGGATGCTTTTCCCACAGGGCTGTCCTGTTGGAGGCAATATGTGTGTTATTATTTTAGCCATTTTGATTTTGGAAATAGAAAGGTAGCCTGCGGGCATTAAAAAATAAGGGCAGAGTTCTCATAATTTCAGGAACCTGAAAATGTAATAATATTTGAATAAAGCTATCCCAGATCACTCTATAATGGGGCTGAGCAAACTTGCCCTTCAGGTTTGTTTTGTTGCTCCTTACACTCTCTTGCCATTGGGCATGCCAGTTAGGGTCCTTGGGAGTTTAAATCTGAAAGATGTGTAGGTACTAGGTAGCCTATTCCTGCCATATAGGCTTTCCAGGCTGTTTTGTGAGTAAAGTTAATCCTATTAATGATGAAATTATGGTGACCATTTCTTCCCATTCTTCCTACCAGCCCCTCTAGCTTGGGTTAGAATGACCTTGCGGCAGCATCTTTGACCTCTCATCAAAATGCCCCAGGAGCTCTATTCTAGCCAACTTTCTGTTGACTTTGTAAAGGTCCTTTGTATTGTCAATCAGCATTTGGTATTTAAGAAGCAGTGTTTTGTTTGCACGTATCTTAGGATGCTGTTCTCTTCCACAATACCATCTTCTACAACCTCCAGTATGGCAATATCAATGCCTCTGCAGAAGACATCTATGCTGTGGCAAAGCTAGCAGGAATTCATGATGCTATTCTCAGAATGCCCAATGGGTACAACACACAAGTAGGCGAGCGAGGTCTGAAGCTGTCAGGTAAGTAAATCAATGGGCCACTGGTCTCCACACCTGCACTTTTCCTTTCTTGCCTCAGGCTTGGTGCACAACTTATGCTTTCCCACAGCTGTTAGTAACATGACCTTTCTCGGCAGGCAGATAAATGCCAAGTTTAATATTAAATGGTCACCCAGCAGCCGGTCTTACGCTACTTTAGAAGCTGCTTAGAAAGCTTTATTATCAGGAGTCGAGGGTTGGTATGCTCTTCATACCTTCCTCCCCAATATGATGGCCAAATAAGTATTTGATTAGATGGAGGTAATTAATGGCAGCTGCATGGATTTAAGAAGCGTGCTTTTTTAGCAGGAATACAAAGCTCTCTTGTAGCCAGTGATTGCATCATCATCATTATTATTATGTCTCCAAGGCCATAAGGACTCATCACAATGTCATAGGATACCATCCAGACATGGTATCATAATAGCTATGAGTACAGTAATGTCCAAACCTGGAAACATGGACTCTTGAGAGTCTGGTGGGAGGCTGTTAATCCCATCCTTTACTCTGGTTTAATTTTGCTTAAACAGAGCAGCAAGGTGTCAGTCACAAGTGGATGGGCCAAAGTCTGGGGGGGGGTTTAT